AATTGCATAGCATTTACCATTTCTCTGCCTGCAATTTAAATAAGCAGCAGACTACAATGAGTCCTTCCCCTCCCCCCACCCCCATTTTACATAAAAGTTTATGGCTACAAATTCAGGAACTAAAAGATCAAGCACTAACTATATACAGCTACAACAGCAATGTGAATATTTACAAAGCATTTAAATGACTATTAATAGAGCAGACAGATCAAGTGGACTTGATATCACTTTTCTGCAATCAATTTTGGATCTGATACTTTCTTCTTTTTTCTCCAAGAAGTCTGGCTAAAATTCTGTACCAGATTAAACTTCTTACCAAATGGAATCAGACTCCACATTTCTTAAGGGCCAGAAATCGGGCCCAATATTCTCTTTTCTTACCAAGAACTAAAGAGCTGTTTGTTTGCAGCAGTCTCCAGACAGATACGTTGCTGGGCCTTCCCAGTGGATTCTGTAACTCTGTATTGAGAAAAACTCTAAAAGTTGGCCAGATGTGGCTGTGGTTCCAGATAACACATAAATCTTTCAGACCCCTCATTAGCTGTTTAACACTACACTCAAAATTCCTAATTCATATCAGTGTGGTCTCTAAACAAACTCTATCCCAGAGTAATTTACCCAGAGGTACAATCTGTATATCTTTTTTCCTAGTCAATAATGTCAAGCGACTTGTTTGTGTTCAAAAAGCAACCATGCCATGCTATAGCTAGAACTGCAATCTTTGGCTGAAACACAAACCTTCTGGAAGTCAAATGAAATAATTCTATATCCATTCACTCAATTAGAGAGACTTTTAAATTTTACTGGTCCTTGAGGAAAATGAAGAGATGTCTACAGTCAATAAAACAGGCAAAATATCCTCAATTCTGAAATTAGCTGATTATGTGAACTCAAAGGATCATCACAAGATGTTCCAATGAATACCTTTCTCCACATTAAAAAGATTCTTCAAGTAACAGGAGGCACCATCTATTAAACACCTACTATGTGCTCGACATTTTACAACTAAAATTGCTAATCCTCATAACAAGCAAGTTAAATATTATTATTCTCTTTTTATAGAGGGGGAAACAGGCTCGGAGTCCTTATTTATTATCAGCTCAAGGTCCCAAAGCTGTTTACATGCCAGAGCTAGGACCAAAACTCAAATCTGATGGATCCCGAAGCCTTCCCACTATACCAGACTGCTCTGAATGTGTTATTTTCTGAAACTAGAGTTTCAAAAGATAAAGTTGTTAATTGTAGGATTTAGTTTATTTCTTTTCTCTAAGGTGACATACATAGCGGAAACAGAGGGAGCTTATATGTATATATGACAACCTTTTAGAAGGTATTTTACAAGTTAAAAAGAATTTCAAAAATAATTGTTGAACTCTTATTCATTCCAGAAACGCTTACTGAGGCTTACTCTAGCGGACACTAGAACTGGAGACACAGAGATGAAGAACAGAGTCTCTACCTTCAAGATGTTCTAACGAGAGTGATTATCACAAACAGAAATTAACAGTATCCTCCTTTTGCAGAGGAAGAAATTAAAGACTGGCAAGCCTCAGTGGCTTGCCCTAACTTAGCTTCTGGAGTCCCTGAGTGGCGCAAACAGTTAAACACTTGAACTACTAATCGAAAGGTTGGTGGTTCGAACCCACCCAGAGATGCCTCAGAAGAAAGGCCTGGTGATCTGCTTCTGAAAGGTCACAGCCTTGAAAACCCTATGGAGTGTAGTTCTACTTTGAATCCACTCATTGGCAACTGGTACTGGTAACTTAGTTTCCAAGTGACAGAGACAGGACCAATCCCAGTCTTGCTCTGAGATTCTTTCGGACACCCCTGAGTGACTCCTCCCCAGGCCCCACCTTCACACTCTGAATTCCTAATCCTACCCCCACCCCCATCCCCATTATTGTTCTTCAACATATTCAACTGGGATTCTAGACATCTGAGAGTCTGGGTACAGCAAAAAGACTGATGCACAGAGAACCCACAAGGCCACTTTGCTTTTTAAAAACGGGTGGTAAAATCACAAATAAACTGACTTTTCTTACCACCTCAGGCTGCTTCAGTATGAAGTTGAACGACTGTTCTGAGAAGCTGCCAATATTTTCAAAGATCAGGATAAGTCAGGCTAAGGGAGGCTTTTCAACGTTCTCTTGCATCATCTGGGTAATAGAAAGTCAATGGAATAGAGAATGCAACTGTGACTAGGCTTCCATCCTCAGAAACGCCCCCTGTAAATACACCATTGTTGTTCAGTTTATCTCATTCATTTAACAACAGGACACCAAGACTGTGCTGGAGATATCGATGTGGAGGCATGAGATGCAGCTCCTGCCCTTAAGGAGCTCTCTGTTCAGTGGGAGACAGAAACAAATTACTAGGAAGGAACGATCAGCTCTGTTTGTGGCAAACAGGGACAGCTTTCTGAAAGCAAGGGTACCTGGGGCAAACAGGAATTTGCCAAGTAGGTAAAGTTGGGGCGGGGGGAGGTGGTGTCAGGAGACACGGAGAACAGCATGTCCAAGATAACCTAATTTAGAATGAAAAGTATTAGCCAATGTGCTTGCTGTGTTAATCACTTGAAAACTGATCATATGTCACAACACTACCAAATGGAGTGCTCCTGTTCTTTTTATTAATAGAAATTTATGAAACCAACTCCAGTCTAGCTTTTATCCCCTTCTCCACTGAAAATGATTTTGTAGTGACCACCAGTGATTTCCACGTTGCCAAATTTAATCCACTAGACACTTTTTCAGATGCCATTCTACTTGACCTCTCAGCAGCCTTTGACACAGTTGACTGTTCCACTTTGCAACACTCTCTTCTCTGAGTTTTCCTTCTACCTCTCTGGTCCCTTCTTCTCCTCCCCTTTGCAGATCCTCCTCCTCCTCTACCTGAAGTTCCTCAAAGTTTACTCCCGGTTCCCCATTCTCCCCAGGTGATAACATCCATTCCTGCAACTTTTAATACCACCCATATGCTCATGACTTCCAACCGTACATCTCCAAGATGACCTCATCTTCTAAATCCAACTGTCTCCTTGATATCTACACTTGGAAATCTCTCAAGCATCTCAAACTTAACAAGTTAAAAAACAGAACTTATTTCAACCATCCCCTGAAACATGATCCCCTCTAGTCATCCCAGTCGTGGCCCCACCATTCTCCACCTGGCCAGTCACTGGGAGTCATCCTTGCCCCTACATCCAATTGCTACCAAGTTCTGTCAACTCTACCGCTGTCTGCTTTTCTACATTATCTCCACTTCTGACACCCTATTCCAGGCACCATCTTTTTGCACCTGGGCATCTACTCTCCAGCTCTCTGCCCCCAGGACATTCCTCACACAGCAGCTACAGCGAGTTTTTAAGTCACTTCATTGCCCTGCTTACCACTCTTTTGTGGAAGTCATCAGTCTGTTCACAAATATTCCAACTCCGTTCTCTCCTTCCAGAACATGGTAAGATTCTGAACTTAGGTGGGGCAGGACTCCCTTTGGCAATTGAAATGTGGGCAAAAGTGATGCGTATAACTTCTGGGCAGAAGCTTTAAAAGCCAATGCGTACTTCACCTTTTTCTCTTCTCCCCCTGCTGTGACGACACAATGTTCCAGATAGTGGCTGCTCTGCTACCCTGGGCTTCAGACTGAGGATATGATGGTCAAGCGGACATGCAGCGTGAGTGAGGAACATATTTAAAGCTATGTCTTCAAGGGCTCCCTACTGCACTAAAGAATGAAATACAAATAACTTAGCATAATGAACAAATTCCAATGTAACCGGCTCCTCGTCTTGGGCCATCCCTTTCCTCCTCCTATGCTCCCTTACACCACTCACATCAGCTCCCCTACAATTTCTGGAACAAGCCAAGCCTCTTTCCACTTCTTGATGCAATGTTCTTTGCATGGTTTGCTCCTTATCAGCCTTCAGGTCCCAGCTTAAATATTACCTCATCAGAGATGTCAAAATGTCACAAAGATGTCACTTTGAGGACTAAGGTGCACCTGACCCAAACCATGATATTTTCAATCACCTCATATGCACGTGAAAGCTGGACAATGAATAAGGAAGACTGAAGAATTATTGATGCCTTTGAATTATGGTGCTGGCGAAGAATACTGAATATACCAGACTGCCAGAAACAAGCCTGTCTTGGAAGAAATACAGCCAGAGTGCTCCTTGGAAACAAGGATGACAAGACTTCATGTCACATACTTTAGACATGTTATCAGGAGAGACCAGTCCCTGGAGAAGGACATCACGCTTGGTAAAGTAGAGGGTCAGCGAAAAAGAGCAAGACAACAAGAGCTGCAACAATGGACTCAAACACAGGAACAACTGTGAGGATGGCAACTACTGGGCAGTGTTTCATTCTGTTGTACATAGGGTCGCTATGAGTCAGAACTGACTCAACAGCCCCTAACAACAACAACAGACATGTCTCCCTTAACCACTTTATCAAAGAAGGTCTCTGTCTTAGTCATCTAGTGCTACTATAACAGAAATACCACAAATGGATGGCTCAATGAAGAGAAATTTATTCTCTCACAGTCTAGGAGAAGTCCAAATTCTGGGTGCCAGCTCCAGGGGATAGCTTTCTTTCTCTGTCGGCTCTGGGGGAAGGTCCTTGTTGTCAATCTTCCCCGGTCGAGGAGCTTCTCAGTGCAGGGACCCCAGGTCCAAAGGACACGCTATTCTCCTAGCTCTTGTTTTTTGGTGATATGAGGTCCCCATGTCTCTCTGCTTGCTTCTCTCTTTTATATCTCAAAAGAAATTGGCTCAAGACACAACCCAATCTTGTAGATTGAGTCCTGCCTCATTAACATAACTGCCACTAATCCCATCTCATCAACATCATAGAGATAGGATTTACAAGACATAGGAAAATCACATCAGATGACAAAATGGTGGATAATCACACAATACGGGGAATCATGGCCCAGCCAAGTTGACAGATATTTTTGGGGGACACAATTCAATCCATGACAGTCCCTCACTGTGATTCTCTGTCACAGTACTGTGACCATTTCCTACATGGCATGTCACAGTCTATAATTTTTTGTCTCTTTGATTAAATGTTTGTCTTTTTCATAGGACTGTAAGCACAACCAGGGGAGGAACTCACCACTATCTCCAGTACCTACCATTGTACCTTATATGTAGCAGGCACTCAATAAATAGTCGTGAATGGAATGAATAAATGAACAAATGAAAAAAATTCAAAAAGTGGGACATAACACTACAGACATCATATCACATAGCACAGAGGTGACAGGTGGTAGCAGTTGGTGGTGGGGATAGTAAGGGAACCAACATTTTACTGAATGACAATGTACCTAGCACTGTGTTTGGTGCTTTACATATATTATCTCTCTAGATCCCATGATCCTAGAGGGTCAATATTAATATCTTCATTTTATAGATGACATAACTGAGGCTCAACCTGCTTAAGTTACAGAGCTAGTGACAGCAGTAGTGTTAACCCAAATCTGTTTGTTTCCTTCCCTAGGAGGTAAACTGCTACTATATACCATCACCAAGTACCTTTCTATTGTACACATAAATTACACTCACATATGAATATATTTCTACTCCAAGTACCAGTTTTTACTTTTCTTTTTTGTTTGTTTTTGTTTTGTAAACTCATCCTATTTCAGGTATCCATTGTTATCCAGGACAAGTGAGGGCAGTATGATGCTACAAATCAAAACCATGACAAATCAAACATTTCATCTGAACTTTTTCCTTGAAGTCTTTTTCTTCTCATTAAGAAGCTACTATAATTAGGAGGTAGGGAATGTGTTCTGAGTTTATTTTGTGGCAATTAAGACCAATTTAATACTGGCTTAATTCACCCTCTTGCCGCATCACCAAATGCTGTTCTGCTGGTCACAGAACATGCAAAGCTAAGTGGTCTCATCACAGTGTGGGCTTGATCAGCACAGGCTCCAATAAAACAAATAAACAAATAAACCCAAGTGACTTTTTACCTCTGGCCACCTGTGAGTGAAGTTACACGTTAACAACAGAAAGGTGGGCCTGGTTAACTCCCAAACAGTTCTGCTGGCGCTGATTATTAGAGCTAGAAGGACCTCGTTGTTAGGTGCTGTCAAGTCTCTTCTGACTCGTAGTGACCCTGTACACTGCTGAAGGACCTTAGAGACCATCTATTTAACACCACCCCCTCTTTTTCTCTTTAGCAAACAGGCCGAGGCAGGCAGTTATTTATTTGCCTAAGAGAACAAGTTCCCTAGCTGCTAGTCAAGCGCTCTTCCTGCTACGCCATGCCGCCACCCTAATCAAGACCGGCTGAGTCTGTCAACATAATGACCAGAATGTCTAGAAAACCCACAGCTTATAAATCCCCCAGCTTCCCTTTAGGCTCTGTTATCTAGAAAATCCTCAAAACTCTGAGCAAAAAGAACATAACACAATAAAAACAAAGAAGATCAGGCAGAGTTATTTTACTTTTCTATTAAATATTCTTCCGAAAGCATTATTTTATCCCGTATCTCATTGAGTGATAAGAAATAGTAACGTCAGCATTAGAAAAACAAGAAAAAAGATGAGGACAATCGATTAAACTAAATGTACATGAAAAAGGAAAATTATAACAAAAAACTGAGAGCTTTACAAATTTAGTTAAATTAATAGATTATAATTTGAAAACTGCATCTCAAAGCAAATTTTATTTGTTCAGTTATTTTTCACAATAGTTGTTTTATGACTCAAATACACTGATTTTTTCAAGAAGGAAACCCATTTCTAAAATATTTTCATTTTAAAAATAAGCCTGTGTTCACCTATAGATGTTTTTCCCCCAAGCTCTAATCATATTTCTTTTATTTTGATTTGGGAAGAAAATACCATTTTGAGTGCATAAAATACAAAATTAAAAAGTGCTTTTTAAAAAAAAAATCCCAGTACAGAATTTTAAAAACTATTAATGGAAAACAGATTAAGGTCATTAAGTGTACAACTCTAACTACTGGTCAGCTACTGGTATACTGTTTCTTCCCTAGTTCTCCCAAGAAAAACTCTTAAATTGAATCTTCAGCATAATAATCCTTAAATATACTCTGTAAGCAAAATGAGAGCTTTTGTTTACACAGTTTTTGGCTTTTACTGTTCCTAATTTTATTCTGAAACTCAATGTTACCTCAAATCATAATTACCATATTAACTTTGTAATGCACAGTTGTATATAATTCAGCAAAGCAGTAGTACACCACCAGGCTCTATTCACCCAGAGCTTAGGAAAAACAGGATTGGTCACACTCATTTAAAAACAAATCTACCCCAGGCTATTTGCCAATGCTTACTTAGTTTCAATCTAATTTCCAACAAGGAAATATATGGATATATTTCTATGTGTTTCATCTTGATTTTCAAAAGTAGCCATAGGGAGTTCTTCACAGCTTAGCTTTGCCTGGCTGAAGCTGAAGATTTTGTAACTTCATAGCCATACCCATGTTGCCAGTGATTTTCAATTTGCCTTGAAAGAAGGCCTGTCAGTAAGAAGAAAGAAAATCCATTACCTGGTGGTTTTTCCTTTGAGATTGCTGACATTTCTAGACTATCCAGCCCTGAGACCATTAATTTATCCAGGTCACTTGAATTTCTTCAAAATATGAAACTTGGCTTTCTGGAATAGAATTAGAACTAGATTCCTCAAAAGGAAGAATTCGTAAAAGTCATGCTTAACACAGACCAGTCAAAAGGGACACCTTTCCAATATTTTCCCTTAGAAATTGAGTCTGCCTTCTTACCTACCTTCCTTAAAGGAGGTACATTTTCCAAATTATTAGGCAGAGTGTGCTTATACTAGATTTATTTTGTGTAAAAACATTATATGTGGGTTGGGAAGATGAACTGAAAATTTCAGTAGTCTCCTGGGAGAAAAAGCACAGGCAAAACACACTTATAAACTCTCGGTATTCAGTACGATGTGGATTAAATGCCACTGATTTTTCTGTCTACATGATAAAGGAGTTATGCCTACTGAAGACAGCCTGCTGAGACTGGGGTGCTTGCGTTACTCTTTGGCTCAGTAAGAAGAATCAAACCAATCTGAAGTGTACAGCCACAATTTGTTCCACTTTAACAACTGCCTGGGATCAGATCACATGATGCTTGTTAGATTCACCATGTAACAAAATCCCGGGAAAACTTAACGGAAATAGCAAAATTGGGAACACAGTACGATTTCCCTGCTACAAGGACCTCGGTCTTCTAACTAGGTTCTTAAAATAAGGAGGGGTGAGATGAAAAAAGTTTCTGGTTGCCTGAGCTTTTTAAGCAAGCACATTAAGAAGTCAGGAGGTCTTTCTTCTGTATCTTCCAAGGGAATGCACAGAGCTCTGTTCTGTCTACATCTCCTGGTAAGGGTGACTAACTCTTCTTTTCCCCCTCTGTCTGGACAAACTAAATCTTTCCCTTCTACATGGCACAAAGCCTACTGTCTGGTGATTTAAAGGTCAGGTGTCTCAGAACACAATATGTTTAACATATGTCCTTTAAAAACACAGACCAGTAGTACCTAGAAGAGAAACTCACCGTCTTCCCCTTTTTTAAGTTAAAAGAGAAAATGATTTATTTACGATTAATAGAGAAAACAAGAATCTTCACTCTCTAGAGAACCCAAACAGAAGGATCATTTAATCTGGCCCCTTAGGTGTCTTCACATGCCTTCTGCTGGAGAGCACATTGCTTTGTTTCAACCAGAGCCAAACACTGAAATTAGAATTTCCACTGCAATGGTTTCCAGTCAAATCCTCTGCTGAGCACAAGGGAAGGCCATTAGCACATTAATAGAAAGGTCTACCACTTTTATCTTTAATTCCTTTGGGTGTGAACAGGTGTTCAAGAAAAATAAGTTGACACTATGCCCCAAAAAATGGGCAAGACACAGAGCAACTAGAGAGCGAGGGCAGATGATGTGTGAAGTCTGACCTCCTGCCAACGCTGCTCATGGAGTGCACAGCAAAGCGGACAGCAGTGGGTGGGAAGGAGGACCACAGCCAGCTCCTACACTGGTGGCCTCTGCTCTGTCCAGGTTTCTGGAACAGGCTCTGTGGATGCAAACAGCAGTGCCGATGTAGTCAGCTGAAACATGTCACACGTGCAAATCCCTCACTTGTCATGGCATCAACTGGCACACGCTTAAAAAACCAAAAACCCGCTGCCGTCGAGTCTATTCTGATTCATAATGACCTTCTGAGACAGCGAAGAATTGCCTCATAGGGTTTCCAAGGAGCAGGCAAACTGCCAACCTTTTGGTTAGGAGCTGAGCTCTTAACCACTGTGCCACTAGGGCTCCGGCACAAGCTTAGCTGCTTAGAAAAAGCATCTTAAAAACGAATAAGTAAGAGTAAGATTTTGTTCTTTTATCCAATCTTGCGAATTACCAGGGAACCACAGGACCAAGAACTAAAACTAATAAGGCTGAGGCAACAAAATAAATATATATATAAAGTTACAATGGAAAGAAGCGTCTTTGTTTCTTGTTTGTCATCTTGGCTGTCTGAAAGCTCAGCATATCAAGTCAGTTTCAACACTGTGCAACTGAAGAGTATAAAAAGGCCCATGAAATTTTTGCGACCAGGAAAATCTATACACGGTATAAGTACTTTTTCAATAAATTTAATCCAACAACTGTCTACTAAAAACCTAAAAATGTCACACATTGTGCTAAGCTTTGGAAACACAAAGATGGATAAGCTGTGGTGCCTTCCTTTGAAAAGCTCAAAATTTTATGGGGAAGAGACAGGCACATTGTGACTAACATAATGTGACACGGGCTACCTTAGCAGTCCAGTAAGTGGCATGGAAGAGTCACTGGCTCCAGCTCCCTAATGACCTGGAAGGAGTTCCTTGGAGAGAACATGGAAGCTGATTTTGAAAGATAGGGCTTGTCAGGGGAGGAGAGTTGAGGCAAAAAGAAGCGCAACAGACAAAGGTAGGAAATGTAAAAGGCTATGCTTCGTTCACACTACTCCCTCCGCCTGAAACATTCTTCCTTTCTATCTGAGCATCGCTAGCTTATGACCATCCTCAGGACTCAGCTCAAGCGTTGCTTCCTCTGAGGCTTGCCCAGGCGGCCCTGGGAGACATGGCTGCCCCTTCCTCATCTCCCCTACCACAGCCTGGCATGGCACCCTGGGCACTTGGCTGCACTTACTCTCTCGCAGATCTGTCTCCTACCAAACTGTGGATGTCCTGAGCATGGCAGCTACTGCTTATTCATCTGAGTATTTCCAGAACCGAGAACAGTGCCCGACACATAAATTGTTCCACAAATGTTTGTCATTTGTTAAGTGAACATTTTGGGCGGCACTTAGTTTTGGGTGGGTTTGACCACTTGGTATGCTAGGGCCTGAGGCAGATGAAGTGGGAAGAGCTAAAAAGACCCACCTACTAGAAGGATATAAGCTTCATCTACTTACCGACTGAGGATTCATTTTACCAGTCATTAAAGCCAGTAAGTCCGAGTCAGCCATTGTGATTGTGCAGTCAGCCTTCTTATCTAAGAGAGATATGCAGGAAAAAGGTAGAGAACAGAGGAGTGTTTAGTTTCATGTATACATTTTAGTCAAGAGCAGCTGAGTGCAACAGACTCCCAGCCAGTGCTGGAGCAGTGTGGGGCAACGGGCACTCGCACACACTTCGTGGCAGCCTGGGAAGATGCAGCACAGACTACAAGCAACCTCCATATTTAACAAGACGGGGCTGACTAAATAAATTACAGTAAGTTCATGTGATGGGATACAGTGCAGCCAGTGTAAGAGTTGATGTGGACCTACATATATTGACCTGAAAAATGTTCATGTTGTATTGTTACATAAGCCAGTTACAAAAGAAACTATAAGCGTGTTCTATTTTCGCTTAAAAACAGATATTCAATTATATATGTATAGGAAAAACATCTGTAAACTCAGACACCAACATATTATTAACAGTCACTGTGGTGGACAGACTCTAAGGGGGTCCCATGGTCCCTGCATCCTGGTGTTCATGCTTGTATACTCCCCCTCCCTCAAGTGCGGGCAGGACCCGAGACTTGCTTCTACCCAAAAGAATGTGGCAAAGGTGATGGATGTCCCTCCTGGGATTATGTTATGGTCTATAAGACTCCATCTTGCCAGCAGACTCATTTCTGCTCTCCTGTTGACCTTGTTGTGAACTGCCTATGGACAGGACCATGTGGCAGGGAACCAGGGCGGCCTCTGGTCAATAACCAGCAAAAAACAGAAGCTGTCATTCTTGCAGTCACAAGGAAATAAATTCAGCTAACAACCTGAGGAAGCTTCGATGTGGGCCCTTCCCCAGTCAAGCCTCCAGATGAGAACTCAGCCCTCGTCAACACCTTGATTGCAGCCTTGTGAGACCCTATGGAGAGAACCAGCTAAGCTGTACTCAGACTCCTGACCCATGGAAATTGTGAGATAATAAACATGTATATTGTTTTAAGCCAGTGAGTTTGTGGTAATTTTTTATGCAGTAATAAAAAACAAATAGTTATCTACATCAGGGTTTAACGAACTTTTTCTGTCAAGGGCCAGATGGCAAATATTTTAGGCTTTAAGGGCCATCTGGTCCCTGTTGTAACTACTCAACTCTGTCCTTGTAGTACAGAAGCAGCCACAGACAATGCGTAGACAAATGAGTGCGGCGGTGTTCCAATACATTTTATTTTCAAAAAGAAGTGGCAGATGGGGGAGAGAAGATAACTGCAATTCTTATATCTGACAAAAATTTTGAATCCAGAATATATAAAGAACTCCTACTAATACAAAATTGGGCAAACAACATACACAGGTATTTTATAAAAAGAGAAGCACCAAATGGCTAAAAAACCACATGAAACAGTACTCAACTTCACTATTCATCAAGAAATGCAAATTAAAACTATGACAAGATCCCACTACACACCTGTTAGAATGACTGGCTAAAATGTAAAGAAATCTGACAATACTCAGGGCTGGCAAGGATGTGGAGCAATTGAAAGGTCAATACGATGCTGGAGAGACTGCAAAATGGTTCCTCCACTTTGGAAAACAGTGTGGCAGTTTCTGATAAACATGCATGTATCATACAAACTAGCAATTCCACTCTTAAGTATTTACCCAAGAGAAATAAAAACATGTTCACTCAAAAACCTGTATATAAATATTTACAGTGGCTTTATCTGTAATTGCTAAAAACTAGGAACAACCCAAATGTGCACCGACTGGTGAATGGATAACCTACTCAGAAACAAAAAGGAACAAACTCCTGCTGACACACACAACCTGAATGAATCTCAGTGTTCTGCTCAGTGGAGGAAGCAGCTCAGCATACTTCACAGTGTAGGATTCCATTTATACAACATTCATGAAAAGGCAAAACTACAGGGACGAAAGTTAAAATTAGATTAGCAGTTACCAGGGACTGAGTGTGGGAGAAAAGAATTGACTACAAAGGGGCATGAAGCATGAAGACAGTTTTTAGGGTGATGGAAAGACTCTATATCTTGATTTTTGGTGGTGGTTACACAACTGTATGATGTATTTGTCAAAAATTGCCCCGTGAAATTTACAGGGTAAATTTTATTGTATGTAATTATGCCTCAATGAACTTGAGTTAAAAAACAACAAAAACTGATAGTAAGTACCAAGTATTGTCAAAAATGTGGAACAAATGAAACTCTCATATTCTGCAGAAGGGAATGTAAAGTACACATCCACATGGAAAAACTGTTTGGCTATACTGGACCTTACGACCTAACACGCCCACTCCTGGGTGTATGCCCAACAGAAATGACTATATAGTTAGTCCCCATCTTATGATATACTGAGTTATGACAAACCAAATTTATGACTGTTGATTTGGGGTTTTTTCTTTTTTCCTTTGGTACATCTTATTGTTAGTAATTTGTACTGCATACAATGTTGCAGCGCATCATTTGCTAATGTTATCATTCTCAGATGTTCATTCTCAAATGTTCAATTTTATGATTTACTGTTCAAAAAGCAACTGTACAGATTTAGTTTTCTAAACTAAATCAGGAGCTTCAGTTGCCTGAAAACATGGACCCAAATGCCGATCACTTTGCTAAAGTCAGTAGGTGGATTCAGGAAGCAGTGAGATGTCAACACAAAATTTCCAAAATAAATAAAATCAATCTATGGTGACAGAATTCGGAATAGTGGTTCCTTTTGGAGGTGTGTAGAGATGGGAGGGAGTATGAGGGAGACCTCTAGAGTGCTGGCAACATTCTGTATCTTGATCTGGGAGGTATATTCATTTGTAAACATTCATCTAATTGTATGCCTCAGATTTATGTTCTTTACTATAGGCCAGACTTCAGTAAACATTCTACCAAAACAGCAAAAACCAAGTAGTGAGCTGGATTTGGCCCACAAACCACAGTCTGCCAATCTCTGACCTAGATGGTGGGTTTATGGGGGAGTAATTTTTTCATTTTGTTTTTCTATCTTTTTAAGTTTTTCTACAATGAGCATATACTACTTACATAATACAAAGTTTTAAAAATAATTTTAAAAACTGTCTGAAGTGTAATGATGGAAAAACTAAAAGTCCTTTCTTGGAATATTAGGATCAAGCTCAACTACAAAGATCTCAACTTGCTAGCTTTTTTTTCCTGCTCTTTTGATGATATATAGAAAACTTGATTGTCTAGACAGTAAATTCCTACATTTTCAAGGCTTCAGACCTTTTTTCCAGTAATAAGAGAAAATTTTTAATAGAGGCAAAGACAGGTTATTAAATTATGGCCCAAAAGCCTGTCAGAAAATCTGTGCTTTAATAGTAGAGATAGGAGTAACTATGAAGGCATATCATGTCCATATTATTAAATAATTAAAACAAGATAGAAAAGATAATATATAAGTTGTTATTATACACCTTGTAACTCAGGAACAGTCTTCCTAAAAAGACTGAGATTCAACGGCCATTCTGTCTTTGCCTCTAATAAAATTTTCTCTTATTACTGGAAAAAAGGTCTGAAGCCTTGAAAATGTAGGAATTTACTGCCTAGACAATCAAGTTTTCTATGTATCATCAAAGAGCAGGAAAAAAAAGCAAGTTGAGATCTTTGTAGTTGAGCTTGATCCTAAAATTCCAAGAAAGGACTTTTAGTTATTAAAGGTGACTTCAGAAATGATTCTGCTGCTGCTATTGCTTTTGATGTAATATCAGCATTTATTGAGCTCTCACTAGAGGCTCAGCACTTCACATACTTGGTCTCATTTGATCTTTTAAACAACCCTATGAGGATCAGCGGGAAAAAGATGCAGTGGTCTGCTTCTGTAAAGACTATAGCCTTGGAAGCTCTATTGGGCAGTTCTACTCTGTCCTATAGGGTCGCTATGAGTTGGAATCGACTCAACAGCAGTGGGTTTGGTTTTTTTCGACAGAGCTAGTGAGTAGCTGAGCTAGGTCTGAACGCAGATTCCTGCTGCCAAAGTCCATATTCCCCACTGCCTTCTCTTGTCCCAGGAAGGATGACACTCAACAGCTCACGTTTAATGGGGCTTCATCGATTCATCAGCATCTGATGAATCCCAGCTGCTCTCCCAATCCTCCGCGTCCTTTTGAGGAGTCTTGGACAAGCCTAATGTGTCCAAGCAAAATTAATGTTTACAGCTGACCTGGCAAAAGTTGTGTGATATAAAAAAAATTAATGTTTAGTATAAGGGTTGTGGAGGAAGCAGTGATTTACTGAGCATTTACTAGGCCATGTGCTTTACAATCATTATCTCATTCAATCCCCACAACTCTACAGATAGAAATCATTCTCACCAGTTTCTAGATGTGATAACTGGACTCAGGGAAGGTATGCACCTAGAAAGTGACAGAGTTAAGATATGAACCCGGGTTTGGGTATCTAAAAAGGCTCTGTCTACTGTACCTTGGGATGGGGCGGGAGTGGTGGTGGTGGAGCCTGAGGCTTTCTGTATCACGTTCCTCAGAAAGAGGCAGGGTTGAGAACTCAAGGAAGTGCAGAGAGGGAATAAAGGAATGAAGGAACAATGAGTGTCATGTTAGATTCATCAAAGTTGGCTTCCCAGAGATATGCTATGTGAGTCATTTCAAAGGGGAGGACAGAGGGACAGGACTCATGGAGAAAGTACTAAAAGGCATCCAGGCAACAAGAAAACATTGTGGAAAATGCACAAAATTTAAAGTTCTTAATATAACCATCTGTATAATCATAACCAAGCTCTCTCAAATATATGCAAATGAAATACATTTACATAAATCTTACTTGGTTAACATGAAGTAAACCTCTCAAAACTATGTAAAAGAACTAGCAATTCTCTTTAAGATGCCAGTTCAAACTAGGAAAGGTTATTAAAGCTTTAATATAGCTAATCTCTAACAAACGGTCATTTGTTGGTTGATGTAAAAGGAGCTGGCATTTTCCAGTGGTGGCTTTTACTCGATAAGTCCATATTTCAATGCCACTCCTGGCTGCCAACAAGTGTCAGCTTCGGCAGAAACTGCCCCGGTCCAGGGTAAGATGCTTTCAGGTCTGGAATGGGGCACCTACCTTGGGGAGAGCATACCTCCAGCTATCTGCAGGGGATAAGCCTTTTCTGAAACTATTCAGTAGTTTTCCATAAGCATATTATCTCTTATGACAACAAACAAACAAAAACAAGAGGAAAAGAGGAGAAACTTTTTAAATCACCTTAACACCGACCTGGGCATGTAAGAATATAATCCTGAAGTAACTATTAACCTTCAGTCATACTACTGGATGTATTTCCAGAAGTTCTTCCTATTTCTAAAAGCTAGAATCTACCTAAAGCACTTTGTTCTCCTTCCTATACCACCTTGAAGAGGCAGCTCATAGAATGCTACCATCTATTCATCTTCTGCCTGCTCATTTTGAAAAAAAAAAGGACTCCATATAATTCAGGAACCTTCCACAACAAAGCCATGCTGCCCTCACCAGATGCCCTTACCACTGCTCAGCTTTTTCTTCATTAATCGCTAGTTGATTCCTTATTCAACAGAAACTTAACAGTACAATATAGCTACCACTTACTGAGTGCTTACTAAGCACCATTCACTCATGACAGGTTTGAGATTCATTTTTAAATTATTTATTTTACTGAAGGCCTCCCATGCATCAGGTTCAATCCCCAGCACTGGGAAGCTAACAGGCAAAAGTCTCTGCCCTCATGGAGCTTACAGTTCAAATGGGGGAGAGGGACAATAAGCAAATAAGTAAAATACCACATGGTATACCAGATGACAGTAAGTGCTATAGAGAAAAATAAAGCAGACCTATTCCTGTTCCTAAGAAGTCATTATACCTCTAAAGCTAGCCCTTATTGGAACACCAAGACCAGTTGCCATTGAGTCGATTCTGACTCATGGTAACCCCACGTGTGTCAGAGTAGAACTGTGCTCCGTAGGGTTTTCAATGGCTGTTTTTTCAGAAGTAGATCACCACGCCTTTCTTCCAAGGCATCTCTGGGTGGACTCTAACTACCAACCTTTCTAGTAGCAGTTGAGCATGTTAACCATTTGTACTACCCAGGGACTTGGGGACCCCAAAGCAGACCCCCTCGTCCTGGTTGACAGCCTTGTGAACTTGTCAGGGAACTGTTGTAAATGAAGCCGTTCCGCGCTGACCTGAGTTAGGATGCACTGATCCTTTGCCGTTCTTCACATCTACCACCCAGGTGGCTTCTTTACCCCCAGGGCCATCCTTCACCTTGAAGGCAAAAATACCACCGATTTTCTTCACAAACTCTTCCCCTTCCTGGAAAAAAAATTAATACTGGGAGTTACATTAAGTTCATTTCTCTGACTTTTCCCTCCAAACAAATGAAATGTTTAAATAGATGCATGAGATGAGCAGCTGGGTCGGCAGGCAGTCCCCAAGTTCCCTTAGGATCTTTTAGCCAGAAAAGTCTGAAAGGCAATCAGGCCACCACGCCCACATCTACCAAATCCTGTGTTAAAAATGGCTTTTTGGATACAGCTGGTGGGAGGAAAGGTAGGATAGGTAGCATGGTAGCATTTTCTGCTGAAATAGCCTTCATTTGTCTCAACAGTTTTGGAAAGATTCACTCCAGCCTCTCTAAATCTAGAAGCCCCCACCCTCACCTCCTTTTATTTTTTTTTCCCCAAGTAAATTCCTTTATATATATTTTTGGTTCTCCCTAATCAGAACTTAAAGATAAGTGGTTCTGAGTCAAGGTCTTTTTTTGCTCATTTTCTGAAATAATATAAAGAATTACACAAGTAATATATCATCCATCAGTTACTTTTGGATCTTGGGGAATGAAGTAGTCTAAACACAGAAAAAAAAAAAAAAAAGTAATAACCTCAGACCTGTATCTCTGTAGGTTTACTTTCTCCCTTCCTTCCTCTCCCCTTCATTCCCACTCTGCTTCCATCTTTCCTTCCTGAAACATTTATTAAGTCAGGTATTGTTCTAGGCACCAAGGATAGACAGACAGGAGTCAGAAAAGTAAACGATGACAATACACTGTGACCAGTACTGGGTTAGAGGAAAGGACAGGGGACTGCAGAACACAGAGGGACAGCGTAGCCAGCCTGGCGGGTGAATAACGAAAGGATGACAACAACCTCACATGCCTCTTAAAAAAAAAACAAAAACACACACACAATAACATTACTGAAATTATTTTTATTTAGAGAAGAAACACAAAAATCAATAAACATAAAAATATAAATCATTCATAATTTCATCACCCAAAGAAAACCATATTTTTGTATAAATCCCCTCTATCTTTTTTCCTCTGCGTAAGTATTTTTTAAATAGGGTCATATTGTACATAAGTTTTGTAATCTACTTTTATTTTTAATATAATTATCCTTATTTCTATGTCATTTAATATTCTTCTACATAATTTTAAATGGTCACATAACAGTCCTTAATTGTAATGTGTACCATACTTCACCAGTAAATACCCTGTTGCTTGACACTTAGGTTATTTCTAACTACTGGCTCTTATAACAATGCAGTCAATGACATTACTATAACCTCATTTATTTAAGGATAAACTCCTAGAATTAAACTTCACTAATTAAGAATGCTGACTCTGGAATCAGCAGAGGTTTGAATTCCTGTTCTGCCATGTACTTATATAACACTGGACAACTTACTGAACCTCTCTGAGTCTCAGTTAATTCTTTTCTGTTAAATGGTGATAATAACAGTAGTTACCCTCATAGTTGTGTGAGAATTAAATTATGTAAATACCCACAAATAGTACTGCTCACTAATGGTAGCAGTTTTCGTATTTTATTCCATAATCTGTCTGCTATTCCTATGCCAATATTATCACTTTGCAATGTACTTTACTCTTTGGTATGGCAAATGTCCACCATGCTTCCTCTCTTCCAAATATTCTTGGCTATTTTGGGGGGACTGTTTTTCCTCCAGATGTACTTTATAATCATTTAGTTAGTTCTTCCCCCAAATTGCTGCTGGATTCATATGGAGTTACATAAAATACATGGATCCATTTGGAGGAGATGTGATATCTTTACAATATTAACTCCTCCCATCCATGAAGCGGCATACCTTCAAGTTTTCTTTAATGTCCCTTGGTAAAGTTTTGTCATTTTTTTTTCCTCACATAGGCTTTTGTCCATTTCTTATATATTTTAAACTGTTACTGTTACTAATACATTTTTTCATTATATTTTATGACTGGGTTATTGTAAAGTATAGAAAATATACTAATCTTTGTGAATATATGTATTTTGAAAGTTGCTACTTTATTGAATCCCGTTATTAGTTTTAATAGCTTTTACTTCCCACCTTCATTTTAGCCTACATTCCTGCAAGAATTTATATCCAAGATTCTTCTCATTCGTCTCATAATATTCATTCTTTTAACAAAGATTTAAGCATTTACTTTGCTCAGGCACTGTGATAAGTACCTAGAATACTTAACTAATTATTGCCCCTAAGAAACTCATCGTCAAGTCAGTTCCGAACCATAGTGACCCTATACTGCCCCTAAGAGTGTACATAAACTGGCATCAGGTACTAACCTGTATTTACATATGCAAAGAGTCTGGCCTAAGCTCTTTCTTTTGGTTTGTTTCATAAAAGCTTTATTGAGATATGATTTATATACATAAAACTCACCCTTTTAAAGTGTACAATTCAGTGTTTTTTGGTTGTTTTTTTTTTCAGTATACTCAGAGTTGCGGGACCAACACCACTATCTAATTTTAGAAATTCTCATCACCCCAAAAAGAAAGCCTGTGCCCCTTAGCAGTCACTCTCCTTTCCTCCTCACCCCCAGCCCCTAGAGCTTTCTATCTCTAAAGATTTGCTTATTTGGACACTGCATATAAATGATATCATACAATATGAAATCTTTTGTGACTGGCTTCTTTCACTTAGCATAGTGCTGTCAAGGACCATCCATGTTTTAGTACGTATCACTATTTCATTCCTTTTCCTGGCCAAGTAATATTCCATTGTATGGTTATACCATATTTTGTTTATCTATTCATTAGTTGATGGACATCTGGGTTGTTTCCACTTTTTGGCTATTATGAATAATGGTGCTATGTACATTTGCGTACAGGTTTTTGTGTGGACATATGTTTCATTTCTCTTGGATAAGCATTAAGCAGTAGAATCGCTGGGTCATATGGTAACCATATATTTAACTTTCTGAAGAATTGCCAAACTGTTTTCCACAGCATCTGTACCATTTTACAATCCCACCAGAAATCACTGATGGCTGCAATTTTTCCATATCCTTGCCGACACTTGTTATCGTCTTTTTTATTTTAGTCATCCTAGTGGGCCTGTCAATCTTTTTCTTATACATAGGGAACATAGCTGAGCCTATCTGGAATCAATCATGGGTTCTAGGACTCCAAAGAAGCTATTCTAAGAATATTTTGTCTGCCTCGTACTAAGAAAACCATGGGACTATTTATCTCAACAGTCATGGAGACATCTTTTACATGTGAGTGTAACTACCAGTGGACACCCTGGTGGCATACTGGTTAAGAGCTACGGCTGCTAACAAAAAGGTCAGCAGTTTGAATCCACCAGGCGCTCCTTGGAAACCCTATGGGGCAGTTCTACCCTGTCCTATAGGGTCGCTATGAGTCAGAGTCAACTTGACAGCAATAGTTTTTTTGGGGTTTGATAACTACTAATATTTTCTGGTTAAACCAAGAAGTCAAAATGACTGTCAGTTTTTTTAAATGAAAGAGAAATTCCCTTACTTTGGCTTTCTTTAAAAGAGCTCACTCTATTTTAACTTTAGGAAAAGTTATTAACAATAATCATAATCTTTTGGGAGACTTTAAAGTTTTCAAGGGCTTTTACATACATTATTTCTTTAATCTTCAAAAAACCCTATATACAGTTAGCAGGCAATAATATTAGCCCGTTTAGTAGAAGCAGCAAGTGGTGCTCATAAAACTAAGAAGTCTTCAAACTATTCTCTGTACTTCTGCCAAGTAATGCACCTAACGTAACCCACCTCATACTAACATAATTCACCTAACACTTTCAGGCTGAAATTCTTAAATGGTGCCCCATTACTGACAGGATAAAGTCTGTCTTTATATATAATCACTCAAGGTTCTTCATGATCTGAAGGCTATTCGTCCATCCTTACCTCTAGCCACTTTTCATCCTCCTCAGGCTTTATGTTCTGACAACACTGAACTTTCTGAATTCCATGACCGTATGTGCCAGGTTCTCTTATCTCTCCATGCCCTTGCTCATGCCTCGTGCCAGGATACCCGCCTCCCCCTATTCTCCACTCCCATCCCTGAACTCATCACTCAAGTCTCAGCTCCCATGCTGACTCATCTGGAAGGCTGCTCTGTCTCTACCAGACGCTCTGATGGCCCTTGGCACTTGCACTCACTAAACATTTAAATATACTCTGTTAAAGCAGTTATTTTTTGCTGGAAAAAATTTTTTCCATTTCTCTTTTCCCTCTAAACTCTGTGTTTTCCAAGGGCAGGGATGTGAAGTTAATAAGTAGTACAACCAGAACTCAATCCCAGGTTGGTTTAACCTCAAGTTCGATGCTCTCACCATTTGACCATATCATATTGCAAAGGAGATGACATCAATACTTCCAAACTTTAGTCTATGACAGCAAAATAGTTTCTACCACCATAAAATGAATTAAAAGAAAATCAAAAGTCCTCTCCACATTCTTTGAAACCTTTTATCTATCAAGGTTCCGTGGAAGCAATCTAGGAGAGTCAGTTAATAATGCTGGTGTGCTGGGCCACCCAAAAGCCAGGCTTCCTTCTGGGGCCAGCAGCCCATGAATGACTACTTCCAGGTGCATCCGTGCCATCTGCTTGCACAATGCCTCAGGAATACAGCTATGAGCAAACCCCAACAAGTTAAAGCAGGAAAACACCAGCAAAACATTCAGAGATTCTATCTGCATACCTGGAGAGAAATTCCTGCAATCTTACTACTTATCCTCCTACCTCCTGAAGACAGATGTATGTTCATTTGCACTTAAACGTTTAGCGAGCCCAAGTGCCAAGGGCCATCAGAGCGTCTGGTAGAGACAGAGCAGCGTTCGCAGATGAGTCAGCATGGGAGCTGAGACTTGAGTGATGAGTTCAGGGATGGGAGTGGAGAATAGGGGGAGGCGGGTGTCCTGGCACGAGGCATGAGCAAGGGCATGGAGAGATAAGAGAACCTGGCACATACGTTCACTTCTGTTACTTTTGAGAACCAAATGCCCCTCTTATAAAAATCACATCCCTTGGTCAATA